CAAACTGTAGGACCTTGGATTCTTTCTAGGACGTGACTAAAGATAAATAAGGTAAGTTTATTAATTATCGTTGCACAGGTACAAGCACTTGGTTTTTCAGTGAATAATATTTTTATTAATTCATTTCCGATCATCTCTCTTTTTATATTGGATATCATTGCTATTTATACATAACTTTGCGACACGTCTCTAAATCTATTATCGCGTTATGCAGAATTATTAAACTTTGACAAGCTTTGTACCCATCAATCATATATAATTGATGCATGATCGATGCCCCATGCGGCATTGCGCCAGGCCTCACATGTCACGTCATGCCCCTACTACAATTTTTATACTAATAATATATATTAATAAAGTTTTGCATCTAAAGATGGGTCCCTAAAGTATTTAGCATATAAAATTTATGTCTCTTTACGTCCACGTCCCCTAGAGGACATAATTCCTAGCTCTTTACTTCAATAGGGACATAATTCCAGAAATGATTTGTATAGATGCTTAAAACTATAAAGAACCTTTGTAGGTAGTTTTTTTTTATTTCTTAATATAGAAATGAAAATTTTTAATAATAAGAGATATTTGAATTATGTCCTTACAAATAATTTAGGGACCTATCTTTATTTGCATCTAATACTTTTTTACGATAAAAAAAAAACAAAACTTTAAAAATTAAACCTATAGGTCTATAGCACAGTAGTTAATACTTTACAGGTCAAATCACTAGATACCAGTTCAATCTCATATAAAAGTGATTAAATAGAATTAATATAGTATATGATATTATAGTCAATTATGTGCTGTTTCTTATAAGAAGCTATTTTACATACTAATCCAGCAGGTATTGAGATTATGATTTTCCTGTTAAGGTGCAGTAATATAATAATTATTCAAATGGTATTACAATAATTATCATCAAAAGATGCCATAGAACCACCTATATATTGAATGTACAGATTGGACTATACTTCATCTTAACAAATCTGCTTGTCACTTTTTTTTCCATTAACTGTCGAATAAGAAAGCTTTGAAAAAGATTACTGAACTGACACTAATATTTTGTAAAATATGACTTCCCAATAGCTTACTATATATATAGGAGTTATGTCTTGCTTGGTATTTATGCCCTTAAATTTGACAGCCTATATCAACCAGTCCCATAAAATAGAGTATCTATTGTTATAATAATGAATAGTATTAGTTCTATTTTTAGAATAGTTTAGTTTATTATTTCTTTATTATTATTATTATTACTATTTTTTATCTCATAGTTAATATATGTCATAACTGGTATATTAGTTATATATAGCATATAGGGTAGATCATATAGTTATAGTAGATCATATGAATATGGCATTTCTGTCGGATATGGCTGATATAAGAGATCAAGTGGATCCAGCAGACATGGCAGAACTGATATATCTATACTATTGTTTATATTATTTTTCTTATGATTCAAAGATATATAAATAGGACAACTATTCTTCCTAGCTGACCAAGGAATTTTCCTAACTCTTTCCAACTCTTCAATAAAAACTAATCAAACTCTACACCCAAATCACCATGCCTCTTGCCTTGTATTGGATAAACCTTGCCAAATTCTTTTATTTTACCAACTCTAATATATCATAACTGAGATTATTTCTTTCTAACTTAAGTAGCTTCCTGCTACAGTTGTCTGTTAATCTATTCAATTTTAAGGTTTATTGAATAGGTTAACATTACTAAGAGATAAGGAACTTAGGAGCTTTCTTTGCATGGCCTGTATAATTCTTAAGGAGTTATGCCCTACTTGACCACAAGAGTCCTTAGATTTGATAGTTAATACCAACCAGTAGATTAGTACCAGGAGCATTCACTAAGGAGTATATACCCATGTTGAAACTCCTTTATCACATTAATTGCATATAATAAGATATAATATAATAAGCAACTTAGATAAATAGTTGACAGTGTTCTACTGTCCTTATAAATAGTTGGACCAGTAGATTAGATGGTTTAAAAACTAGTGGTAAAATTTTTATTCTCTAGATAGGTTCTCTTCAAAAATATGAATCTACTTTAAAGAAGTGTTAGTAGTATTGCTGGAACAATAAATTAGAATAGATTAATATTTAGCTGTAGTCTAGTATTATATATGATGTTTAATGTAATTGTGATATTATATATATTAATAAATGATTGGCATTTAATATTCCTTTTATTATAAAAAAAAAAAAAAACCAAACTTAAAAAATTGAATTACTTATTTAAATTCTTATTAATTATTCAAAAATATAAAAAAAATTTATTGAAATTTATGAAATTTTAATAGTATTTAGCTACTTAAAATAATAAATATTCAAATATATAAAAATATTGCAGCTAAATATACAAATTTGTTTTCAAATTATAATTAAATTTAATATGTTTGCTTTTCAAATTTGGCTTATATATAGTAAGTAGGATTAATAATATAGAATAATAACAAGCTATTTATTTTTTTTTGTTTTTTTAAGTAAATAAACATTATTGTTTTATTATTTTTTATATAATCAAATAATTAACAAGTTTAATATTAGTTTGTTTATAGTAAACTATTTAAACAATAAAAAAAAAAAAATATTAAAACCAATATATATTAGAAATAGTATTAAGCAGCTATACTGTAAATACTTATTTAGAATTATATATTGATAAAATTTAAAAAAAATAATAATTTAAGGAAAAAAAATATTAAATAAGAAAAAATATTAAAAAAACTAATTATAAAACTAATGATATCTAAGATACTATTAATATTTAAATACTGTATGTTATTTTAATTATTTCACTTTTAAAAATATAGATATATTTGTTAAAATAGCTAGACTATATATATGGTGAAATTGAATTAATTATTTTTTAAAAATTGTATTATAATAGAACTACTAAGTAACATATAATAAATAATTTGAAATCATATTATTGATCAAAATTTTTTTATAATAATAGAGAAACATATATAAATTAGATTATATTTTAAAGTGCTATATATAATAATAATAATATATTTTTTTGAAAGTTGATTAAATATAATTGTTAATTAGTAGTAATAGTAGTAATAATAATAAAATAATTGTTATTTAAATATTTTGTTTGTTATTGTTTATAATACATTACAGGTTATTAAAGATAGGTCCCTAAATTATTTGTGAGGATATAATTCAAATATTCCTTACTATTAAAAATTTTCATTTCTATATTAAGAAATAAAAAAACTACCTACAAAGATTCTTTATAGTTTTAAGCATCTATACAAATCATTTCTGGAATTGTGTCTCTATTGAAGTAAAGAGCTAGGAATTATGTCCTCTAGAGGACATGGATGTAAAGGAACGTAAATTTTATATGCTAAATACTTTAGGGACCCATCTTTACTGGTTATAATTAATTAATATATCTTTAAAAATTCAAATCTAATTCAGTTAATTTAAAAATATTAAAACAAATAGTTTATTATAATTCTTGATCTTTTAATTTTTTTTAGATTTTTTGTAATTGTTAAAACAAAATTTAAATAAAAGTTAAATTTTAAAAATTATTTTTTAATGAATTTTCATGTTAAAATCTAGGTTCTTTTATATTATTGACAAAAAATTTAACATAGTTTGATAAGACAATTATCAAAAAATTGATTTTTAAATTTTAAATTTGTTTAATTTAAAAATAACTTTTTAAAATACAATTTTTATTAATTTTATTATATAATTATTAATTATTAATATTTTTTTTATGATTTAATATTAAGCCACTTATTTTTTAATAAAATTTAATAAAAAAATTTTCTAATAATAATAAGATATTTTATTATATTTTTAATTATTAAAAAATTTTTATAAATTATTAATTACCTATTAAAAAATCACATGATAATTGAATATCTTTTTAATAAAATATTTTATTATTAAATTACTATTTATTAAATTAATATAAAAAAGCAGGTGGCCTAATACAGTATTAAGTTAAAAATTATAATAAAACTATTTTAAAGTTTCATCAATCTATATTTAATTAATTTATATATTGAAAATAATTTTAATAATTGATATTATTTGTTTTTTTTGTAATTGACAAAAAATTAAAAATATTTTAAATTGCTGTCTCTTTTTATAATTATAATTTAATTATATTAATTTAATATATTTAAATAACTTTTTTATTTATTTCTATTCTTTATATCTCCAAATACGCACATGTCTATTTTTTTATTTTAAGTATTAATTAATTATTCAATTATTAATAAAAATATGAGTTTTGATTTTTTCCAATTATTTTTGCTCCGCATTGTATATGAACGGTGAGATTTAATTTTGGAATTAAGAGAATTCCACAAATACAATTTTTCAGGGGGAAAGAACAACTCGATCAAAGATTCCAAAATACTGTAAATGCTGGTTTGGGTAAGTTGGTTCGAGGCATTCAACTGTTTTTATGATAAACCCCGATTTTTTTTTTAATTATCAATTATTAGAATTCCTCGTCATTTTAAAAAAACTACATCCCCATATCCTATAATCCTATATCATCCAATCAAAATATCGAATCGTCAATTCATTAACTAATTTGTAAAATGAAAAGAGTCAAAACATAATCTTGATAACAATGTTTTTGATTCCGAATTAATATACTATACATACTGTATATAGAATTTGAAACCATCCAGAGATGTTTAATCATTGTTTCAAACAATTACCGCATCAGCTCGCATAAAATCGAGTATCGAATTTGTTTAAAACAAGAATAAATAAATAAATAAATAAAACAAAATTTACCAGGTATTTATCGTGAGCCAATCATCTAATCATAGCATCGGCGATTTCTATGTAGATTTCAGGATCAGGTGTTTGTTTAATCCGATGCCAAGAAGTTTGTTCGACACAGTTTCGTCTTTTAAAAGGAAAATCAACCTGATCGGGTTGCCCTTCCTCATATCGATACGACTAATGCAGCTGGAGTTATCGATTAGGAAATAAAAAAATGAAATGGCAAGGCCCAATCAACGCAAAAAGCTCATTCCAAAAGTAGACGAGAAGCATACTTTCCTTCTCACAGGAGTCATTAACCGTTTCCTGGTTTCAACAGATGGTATCACGGGCTCAGAAGAGTATTATTACATGGAGATTACAGAGGTGACGATGTAAGAAGGTGAGAATGTTTCTCACATGCAAAGTGCTTGCGACCATTCTGATATCAACAAAATCAAAATTTCATGTTTAACATTTGCATTACCAACAGTCTCTTCCAAGAAGAATTGTAGAATTATCGTTACCGATATTTTTAGATGAAGCTAAATGCGGAAAAGCGGAAATGTGTAGCAGTCGAAATTCGTCGGTCCATTTGCAACATACCGATATCAGTATTGATTTCGATAACGATTAACGATATACTTTCCAGAAGGGGTTATCGGAGCATTCCTAAGTCACAAAATCTCCGTTTGTCACATTCGCGAGCATTGTCATTTGAAGACCACATGGGGGTATTCATAATAAAAATGGAAGGAAAGGTTTTTTGATCGTGAGTATAATAGACTGTACACCGATTGTTCCAAACATAAATGCGAGATAATATACATCTTATAAATACAGTATGTCCTAGCAGAAAACCTCTTTGTACAAACTACTGTAATTGCTATAAATTGATGAAAAATCACAATACTATCGGTTATGGTCGCTTGGCGATAAGAAGCTCGTTTTGAAAATGACCTGACCTGTTTCTGGTTTCCAAAGAACTCTACGGGGTTGCCGATTTTCTTTTTAATGAGGACGTTAGCATAACATGAAATGCATCATATTGTTCCAAGAGATTAGAAGGAAACCACGGCGTCGTATTCAATTTATTTCGTTCCTTGTTTTTTAGCAATAAACCCAAGATATTTTTTCTGATCGTGTTTCGTCCTGCTTAAAAAACGGAGTCCTTTGAGCTGGTGTTGTGGGAAGCAAAAATACTATCTGACTTGGAAAAAAGCATGCTTTGGGGTCATATGGGATCTTATGTACACGATGATAATTGGATGTTCAAAATTTAACAAATTGTTCGTTGACCTCAACGGACCGTTAAAAAAAACACCAAAATGTCGGCTTCGTTTAGTTTAGCCCAAGCAACATATAATCAACATGTTTAATATAATGTACAATAATACGCATAGTAGCATTAAAGTATAGTACAATGTTATTCGATCCAAAATGTTTCAATCCAAAATTAGTAGTGTCTATTAAGACTTGCATGTTAAAATTCATTATTTAAGGACTGTTGAATGGGTCAAGTAAATAAATTATGCACTCGGCACCTATTTCTGGATACATCTATATACTTTGTGATTTCCAAATGGGTGTAATCCATTGAGTGAAATTTTTTTTTTGTAAGTCAAGTGTCAAATATGGCCAAAAAAAATCTTTTTTTCAAAAGACAAAGGTTTAAAGTTCATAATTTGGAGTTATGATAGTACACCACCTGCCACGTATCAATGGTCTTACGTATGTATCGCTTCATAATTACATGAGTTGATTTAAGAAAATAGGTCAGTCCGCCGCACATAACCTTTTAGTTCCATACAACACGATAGAATAGGTAAGGGTCACTCCACTTATAACGGCACAATTAAACCTAATTTCAATCAATCACAAATTTGTGGCAGGTTCTGTTGCACCTTAAATTTTGTTCGAATCCGATGACGTTATTTACTATCGACTTTAGCACGCTAAACATTTTTGCTTGTCAAAAAAAAAGTCTGTACATTGCGTAATCATTCTCAATGCGTAGTCGGAGTTTTGAGAATGAAGATATCTTGTTCTTGGGATAGCATTTGACCTAGTAATATACTGTAACATATCCTCATCTAACATCTAATGAATCGCCATGGGGGTGGAAAATCACCGTGGTTGACCGTGCATTCTACCAGCACTTCGGATGTATAGCATATCGATGATCCCTTATTCTCGAAAAAAATAAAATAATTCTTCTTATCATTGAAAAAGGAAATCCCCATCTACTGTATTATTATAGATTCACAACTTAACAACCGATGTTTGGCGACAGCAAACCATTGAAAGTAATAAAGTAGCGCCAAATTTTCATATACAAATTATATTAAAAATCGGGCGTCACTTTTGATGCTGGCAGTACGTACTTTTTTCATTAATATCGTGTTATTATGTCTACATATATAGAGGACCCAATGCAGTGTTTGTCCATTCATTCATACAGGACAATCTTATTTCCAACTTTGACCGGGGATCATGTGGGTCAAGTCAATTATATTTGCATGCAACCACAAACTCAGCCAACTTCACCTTTAAAAAAAGCAATAGAGAGCTTTTTCGTAGCGCAGCGCAAACAATGATCCTCTCGCCCGGATTCAAATGAGGAAAGTCAAATGGCTGGGTTGGACGAAAATCCTTTGATGAAGGTAGACCAACCACACTTGCACATCTTGAATTTATACGTAATACGCGCCAAAGATAATGAATGAGGTAGTTGTGCATTAAATTAAATTGTGCGAGGAAATCTTTGGTGATCACTTATTGCAGATACAAAACAGAAATTACGTAAGTACAGTAAAAGAAAAACGTTTTTTTATGGAAAAATGAATGATCCCCCTGATTAATAAGATGACGATGTTTCAGCGGATAAATAAAACGAACAAAGTAACAAAAATAATAATAGTAATAATAATAATAATACGATGTATGCAATAATTAAATTTTTAAGAGTGCCGCGGCTTTCATTCATCGATATCTTTTTTGGTGTGAAAGGGCAATTAAAGTAGGGTACATAAATTATTTTATGTATTTATCCAGGGCTTCTCACCGAAAGTTGGATTCCAAAAAACTAAAAAATTCCAAAATATCTCACGTGACACCTCTCATATGAATAATGTTTGTTCCCTTTCACTCTTTCTAACGTGCAAACTGGGTTATATATACAATTCATCAAGAACTTTTTCATATTCAGCCGATTTGAGTCGTTCACGCGATCCAAGATTCCATTTTTTTTTTTTATAATATACCGTATGCCGACCCTATGCCAATTATTATGCACCTAAATGAATAAAGTATTCGATCCCTAAAAAATGTGGTTTAATTCTATTTCCCCCAATATCGAGGCCTAAGTGAGGGAATCCGCATGCTTACAATCAATGCACCCAAGCAAACCATCCTAAGAAACATTTGCCAATCAAATTTATGCCTCAACAAAACAGACCCTTGAACATCACATTTCATAAATTGTTCGATTCCAAAAATAGAAATAAACTTAAACTTAAACTAGGTTTAGGTTGCATTTTTAAGATTTTATTTTTTAAAAATTTAAATTTTCCGCTATCGGTACACATGATTTTAAATTAGAATTAAGATTTTCTTATGCACCCTTAAAACATAGGATCGACCACTTAAACTACAGTAATAGCAACATATGGTATATACCCCGCCTGATATTCGATATTCATCTCGCCCGAAGGAAGCTGAGGGCCAACATGAATTCCTTGTTGCTTCTATTTATGGAAATGCGTCTGAACACATCGTTCTTACGTTAAACTCACTATGCCACCGTATTTAGAACATACTATCTTAAACATCTCAATTTAAGGAAAATAAAATATTGAATCTATGGAATATACAGATTAATTAAGCTATTAAGATATGACATTACAGTACTTAAACTATGCCGGCATCTTGTCCATGCATACAAGAATGCCGCTCGTTTTCATATCCGTCTTTGGGGGGATTTTTCATCATACCTTCAACGCATTCGTTGAAAGGCGGCGGGCTTTCGCCTCTTTTGGACCTCGACCTTGAGGGAAATAGAGTAAACCTCATTTTTTTCGGTATGAATCTTCGATGGATTCTGAGCCATACAATTAAGGTTGCAGGGAAATGAAAAAGTTCCATATCATTTCCCTGATAGTTTGTATATTATTTATGTTACCCTTACTAGGTTCCAGCTGGTGGATTCTGCGAAGCAGATGGATGAACAAAGCAAACATTAGTCTGCCGATTATTTTTTAATTATTATTATTATTATTTGGTTTTATATATATATATTTTTTTTAATTCGAAAGGGATGGGAGGAGGGTCACCTAATCACGGTTATCGCTAACCTAAATAAAATTCTCCACACACTTTATATACAATGCTAGTTATTATCCAAAAAAAGCAACTTTTTTGTTATCTATGGTTGCACGAAAGAATACGTACAGCCGATCATATCCACTTAGTAATATAAGCTCGTTCTATATTAATTGCATCACCAAGTTAAAATTAATGGATTTCGTCAGTGTCAATGGAATCTTTTCGATTACCAGTGAAAAATATGCAATGCAATTCCATCTGCATTTCATTGAAAAAACGCATCATTCCTAATCCGAGAACATATCATCACTACATTTATTGGTGATAACACGATCGGTCAAACGGTGAAGGCTGAAGTTCTTTATGATAAAGAGAATGCATGCATGAACACAACCTTTCGAGAGGTGAATCGTTAATGTTCACTTGTTATCTCGAGATTTTGGATTCAAAAAAACTGTCACGAGAGACCTTTTGACACCTCTCATGCAGCAACAATAAAACGCCGACTTTCACTTTTTCGCTTAGTATGCGTTGAACAAAAGACGCATGAAAAAGAACAATGACTTATTATGTCTGGCTAAATCAACCCTACCACAGTATTAGTATATCCCAGCACGCAATCCATCGTTCAAATGATTGGCGGTTACGTATCATTTTCAACTTTCAGGTTTTTTGATGGGAAAAAAATTGTGCATTCTCAGGTCGTAACAAATTAGGAATTCTTGATCGCTGGCTAATACGTATCAATAAGAATTGATTTATTCAATGTTTTTTTTTCTCCTTTTTTTTTCTCTCCTTTTTTTTCTCTTTTTTTTCTCTTTCCTTTAAGAAGACAAAATGTCCTTACTGAATTGCATTGGTCGGTTAATTCATTCTGATAACAAATAACGTTTTCCTTTGTAGACAATTGTTTGTGTATGTATGAATGAATGAATAAATAAATAAATAAATAATAACAATCGCTTATCATCTTTATGTACTGTATGTATGCTATCGTATAAACTATATACAATACATGCATATGTAGTACGTAAATTTCATATCTGTGCAACCGTGGAAATCGAAAAAAAAACATACAAAGGTGTTTATGTTTCGAGAATTCTTTTATCCAAACCTTGTCTTGTCTTATCTTGTCCCTAGGAACGTTAAAAAACGGTTGGTAAAATCCCCCACCCCCACAGTGATATACAGTGACGCATGATTGCACGGGACACATTGCACAACGATAATGGGACGAACCGTGCAGCGAAACACAACATAAGTTGGAAATCAACCAAAAAACATGATTTACATAAGCAAGCCCTTTGCAATCTTGTAATTGATAAAGTCGATATGAAACAAACTGTGTGATTACAAAGGAAGGTAATTGTATTACACTTTGTTATCGTATTTGAGCTAATGTTACCAAATTGGTATCTCGCCACCGGCACTACCTCGATCTCATAGT